AAATAATTTTTATCGTTGCTCATACAACTCGTATCACAATCCATACATCCATCCATTGTGTCAAGCACATTTGTACGTTTGATGCCATCATCATTTTCAAAACATTTTCTTTCTACTTGAGCCCTTGGTATCAGCTTCTCATTTTCCCCCTCCCTCCCCAGCCCTTCCTCCCTCACGAACGCTTGATAGTTTATAAATTGTTATTATTTTTTCATGTTTATTACTGTCCAATGTCTTCCTTCACCCACTTTTTCTGTTGTCCATCCCCCTGGGAGAGGGTTATATGTAGATCATTGTGATCAGTTCCCCCTTTCTCCGCCCACCTTCCCCTTACCCTCCTGGTATTGCTACTCTCACTATTGGTCCTTGGGGTTTATCTGTCCTGGATTCCCTGTGTTTCCATCTCTTAGCTGTACCCATGTACATGCTCTGGTCTGGCCAGATCTGTAAGGTAGAATTGGGGTCATGATAGTGGGGAGGAGGAAACATTAAAGAACTGGAGAAAAGTTGTATGTTTCAATGGTGCTATACTGCACCCTGACTGGCTTGTCTCCTCCCTGCAGCCCTTCCATAAGGCGATGTCCAGTTGCCTACAGATGGACTTTGGGTCTCCACTCCACACTCCCCTTCATTCACAATGATATGATTTTTTGTTCTTGGATGCCTGATACCTGATCCCATCAACGCCACGTGATCACACAGGCTGGTGTGTTTCTTCCATGTGGGCTTTGTTGCTTCTCCACTAGATGGCTGCTTTTTTATCTTTAAGCCTTTAAGACCCCAGACACTCTATCTTTTAGCTGGGCACCATCAGCTTTCTTCACTACATTTGCTTGTGCACCCGTTGTCTTCAGCGATCATGTCAGGAAGGTGAGCATCACGGAATGCCAGGTTAATAGAAAAAAGTGTTCTTGCATTGAGGGAGTACTTGAGGAGGAGGGTTATTTGATGTAAGCAGCTGGAATGTTCAGTCAGCCTTGGCAGCTGAGGGCCAGCAGTGGAGGGAGCATGTGTGTGCTGGTGGCTCTCTTTGAGGTTGAGAAATGACAAGAGTTCCAAGAAGCGTGGGGTTCTCGAAAGCTCCTGTGGCTATTGCTGAAATGGTGCATCTGGAAGATTAGAGGCGATGGACAGTCGGAGGGAAAGGAAGAGGACTAAATGACCACGGGTCAAAAGGCGAGCACATGATGGACTCTGTATAGGTAGAAAGGAATTGTAAGTAGTCCCCAGTGAGTTGTGCGCAACTGCAGTTGTCGATCTTCAAAGGGAGCCAGCTCTGTGTGGCGATGAGCACAGATGCTGCTGACTACAGGAGAGGAGAGATGCGGGTCTCTGAGGAGTCTGAGAATAGGTTTTGAGGACCATTTTTGTCACAAAGGAGGAAGTCTTAGAGCACGCACCCTGAGTCCCCGCTTTCCGCAGAATCGCAGGTGACTGTCTTTGATGGTTTAGTCTCCACATGTGTGCTTTTGTCTCCCCCTATGGGATTTTAATGGCAAGAAAAGAAGTGATTTGTTATGACAAGGAGATCCACTGTCTCTTGACTGTCACACATTAGGCATTTCATGGCTTTTATCTTGTTTAACCTCAACTTGTTGACATAGGAATTATTATCCCCAGCTGAGAAGACTGGGTCTCAGAATCTGAAGATTCACTTAGTGACACAACTGAGGTTCAAGTTGACTTTCGTCTGACACTCAAAGCCTGTGGTGTTTCAGAAAAGACTTCTCACCCCAGAACCACATTTCTCAAAATAGCTCCTCTGCCCTTGTTGTGGGTAGGTGCCATCAAGTCGGTGCTGAACCCTCGCGACCGCACGTGCAACAGAATAAGGTACTGCCCGGTCCTGCACCAGCCTCACAATAATTCCTAAGCGCAAGCCT